ACCCCCCCCAACCCCCTGGCCCTCAGGCTGCCCCCCGAGCTCTTTGAGCAGCTGCAGATGTTGCTGGAGCCGAACAGCATCACAGGCAATGACTGGCGGAGACTGGCCTCCCACCTGGGGCTCTGCGGCATGAAGATCCGGTAAGAGGGGCGAGGTCTGCGGACAGGAGGGGAGGGGGGTTTTCAGACCACAGATAAGGGAGCAACTTTAAAGAGAGCGAATGGCTACTCCCACCCTATTGCCCACAGGAGGGCAGCTCCTTCTATTTATCACTGTATTGTCAGTACCTAGGATGATGCCTGGCTCTTAGTAGGTCCTCAATGAATACTTAAAAGAAATCAATTAACATGTAAGTTACATATTGAGTGATTGACCTGCTGTGCCCTGAGGGGTAGAATGGCAGACTGCAGGACAATGTGTGTAAAGCACGCAGCTGAGTGCCTCACATGTGGTCATAAATGTTGGCAGTAATGGGGGCAATGCCACCCTCGTCTCTGTCACAAGAAATAAGTGGGAGAACACTTCTGAGCTAAGCCCCAGAGCCCAGACTACGAGTGTAATGCTCAGCGAAGACTTCGCCTAGGCGATGGGACTAGAGCTGGGCCCAGCGGAGGACAGGGTGGATTTTAAAATCACCTATTTATTAAACATTTATCAAGTATCTGCTATGTCCTGGAAAACTATGCTAAGCTTTGGGACACAAGATGAATGGTCCCAGCCCCCAGCAGCTCACACTCTAGTAAGAGATACAAAGAGCTTAACAAAATAAAGGCAAGTGTTCCTTGTGCCTTATGTATGTATACTATATTGCAGAGCAAGTTGAAAACAGAGGCACAAAATAGCTAAAGTAAGAATAATAATGACTGTGGAAATTATGATTAGAAGTCTGAACTGAGGGCTGCACAATGGTCCTTTGCCCTGGGAAGTGGGAATTAGAAAGGGCTTGGGGGGGTGGGGGTGGAATCGACCATTCTGCTTGGGGGGCTGCCTGCAAAGTGGTAAGTGGATAGCCTGAAGAAGGAAGGTTCAGGATGGGGGCAGGAAGGAAAGGTCAGAAAAAACGGGCGAGGTCAAGTGGTGGTTGAGCCAGAAAGTCAGGGATGTGGGCTTGGTTAGTATGCAACAGAGAGTCTGTAAGGTTTCTGAGCAGGAACAACCGTTTCCCCAGTGGTGGGCAGGATGCTGGGAGAGGGGAGAGTGTGTTTGGAAGTGGGAGGAGGGGAGTGAGGTGTCCCACTCTCTCAAGAGAAGATATGAAGAAATTGGGGCTGAGAGTCTTTGGGGAACCAGGGTGGCCAAGAGAGGACAGTAGCCACCTAAGAGGTCCTCTCATCCAAGACCTCCATACCAGAAGGGGAAACTGAGGCTTAGGAGTGACTTTTGAGCCAGGGCAATCTCAGATTTCAAAGTCCTGGGCCCCCCTCCCACTGCCTTGAGTCTCCTGGAAGGCAGGCAAGAGGACCAGAGCTAGGGCTGGGTGTGGATCTCACTGCAGTGCCCCCCCTTCCCTCCCCCCCC